AATTTCTTTATTGTGACACTTTCTCCAGTTTATAGGACCTCTCTCATATTCTATCTTGTCATATATAAACTCATAGTCATGTATGTCCTCTAACCATCTCATAACGGTTTCCAAACACTTTTATCGGATGTAAAGTAAAAGCATGGATGGTTATGTATAACGTCTAAAGTTTCTAAAGAGTCTCTCAAAGTCCAGTCTACTTGGTATTGAAAATCCCATGTGTTATAGAACGGCGGGTCCACTATAAAGAAAACATTTTCCTTGTCTTTATATTTTTCATACAACTCTGTCCAACGACATCTCACAAACTCTATACCCTCAATATATTTTTCTATGTCCTCTTTGAAAACATTTGTATAGTTAAGATATAAAACTTTTGACATAAGTGTTTCAATGTCATGAACTCTTATAGCACCACTATATAATAGTCTAGCAGATATACTATCCCAGTCTATATATTCTGCTTTTTCAAAACCTCTCTCACAATATTTTTGTTATCTAATGGTATACGTTCCATCTTACTTATAGGTATCTTTTCTTTTAACTCTTTCAATATATTGTTTGTGTCTGGTATATGTTTGAGACGGTCCATATAGTTGTCGAAGTCATTGCATATAATCTTTGAGTCTGGGAATATTGTATGACATAAATGGGATATATAGAAACTTCCACCGAACAAATCTACAAATGTTAGACCATTCGGTAGTTTCTTAAGTTCTCTCAATATAATATCTTTACATCTACTCTTATTTCCAAAGAACGGTAACGGGGGTTTTGTAAAATTCATTTATATATAATAATAAAAATGTTTTTACCCGAAAAGTGACAGAAAAGTGACAAACCATGAAAACATATATAATTTGTGAAAAGCGACACATTATATAATGTTTTCGACCCAGAAGAAGGCTTCTTCCCAGAAGCAATGGAGGAGGAAATACAAGACTCTATCCAAGAAGAGTCCTCCGAATTCACACCAGAAGACTAACAATTTTCCGAATAAAAACTTCATTTATACTAAACATCTTCGGGGCTAGAGGGCGCAACGCGCCTGGAAGCCCCACTTACCTGACCTGTATTTGATTGTACTTCAACTAAATAACAGTCATATTCCTAAATTTAACTCAGTTTGTGCTCAAAATTAACATTTAATTAACATCTAATTTATATCAAGGAATATTTTTGTAAATTCATGAATAGTATAAATGAAAGTAATCCACATAGCAATATGAAAGCAAACTCCCTTAGGCCAAACTGGTTATACTGAGAATCAATGAAAAATTTTTTAGATTTTATTTTATCGATAATCTAAGAGAGATTATTAATAGATTAGATGAAAGTATTGTAGTTTCATTAATATTATCAAATAACGGTTGCTTTAAATTGAAAATGCATATAAATTCTGAAATAGGGTATTTTGTGGTAGTGACTAATATCTATTGGTGAAATATAATATAAATGCGCCATAAATACTTAGTAAACATTCAAGGAATAAAAATTCAAAATGCGATGTCAGGTTCTCATATAACATTTTACTTACGCTTATTGCCCCAGTTGTTTTTATTTTACATTTAGCATTGATATACTAAATAAATATTATCAATCAGAAATTTTTGATGAATGGAAAATAATATTTTATGTACCCAAAAGTGCCACAGCAAAAATTTTTACAAATCATGTCAAGTTCAGAGCAAACAAAAAATGAAGTTGGATGTGATTTTAATGACATTAAGCCAATTGAAATATTTGAATACCCTAGTCAAGCATCAAAACATATTTGGAATCTCAATTCCAATAATATTTTACAAACGTCATCACAAATTATAGAATTTATTAAATCTAACAAAATACCTATCCAAATGACACTTCACATGATTGATATTTTTTCACAAATTCGTGAAAAAGATATTAAATTATTTACAGAACTTTACAAAAAGATATTAAACGAATTCTCATGCCTAATCAAACCGAAAAATGAGAAATTAGCGACATTATTATATTATAAATGTTTCAATTTTGAAATTTTCAAACCTGAAATAGAAGAAGAAATTGTGAATTTGTATTCAACAGAATCTCCTTTATACTATATTGCATGGGATAACATTGATGATCTTAAGAGTAAATTCCCAAATCTTGATATTAATAAGATGATTAAAAATATCACACCACTTAATTGTGCAATTAAATATGGCTCAGAATTATGTTTCAATTACTTGAAAAATTTAGGAGCTAAATACACTGAATACTCCGAAATAAATGCTGTTCAAGGCGGAAATACAAACATTTTTATGGAAATGATAGAAGATGGTAAATCATTTGATAACATGATTGATACAGCATTGGATTATCATAACTATGAAATTGCTAACTACCTTAAATCAAACTTTGGACAAACTTTTGATTCAATAGCAGAAAGTATGCATTTCGGAAATTATGATATTTCATCTTATTTACTTTCTAATGGAGGAAATATCAACAAAATTTATATTCTCTTTATTTTTATATTTATCATTGTTTTATGGAACTTTCTATCTATTCATATTTATCATTATTTTGTCAAATTCTCTCAATATTAATGAATACCCTCTTAGAATTGCAATCAAATCTAATTCAACAGAAATTGTCAAACTGTTAGTTGAACATGGTGCAAATGTTAACATGAAATTTTTTCTCTTTCTTCTCATATTAATCATTGTTTTAAGATATTCTCTTTTACTTCATATTTATAATTATTTTATTGGATCCTCTTTCTTTTCATATTTATCATTGTTTTATAGAATTCTCTTTCTTTTCATATTTATCATTGTTTTATGATATTCTCTTTCTTTTTATATTTATCATTGTTTTATGGAATTTTCTTTCTATTCATATTTATCATTATTTTGTCAAATTCTCTCAATATTGATGAATGCCCTCTTAGTATTGCAATCAAATCGAAATCAACAGAAATTGTCAAATTCCTAGTTGAACATGGTGCAGATGTTAACATGAAACTTATTCTCTTTCTTTTCATATTTATCATTGCTTTATAGAATTCTCATTCGTTTCATATTTATCATTGTTTTATGAAATTTTCTTTCTTTTCATATTTTTCATTGTTTTATCACATTATCTTTCTTTTCATATTCATCATTGTTTTATGATATTCTCTTTCTTTTCATATTTATCAATGTTTTATATAATTTTCTTTCTATTCATATTTATCAATGTTTTATAGAATTTTCTTTCTATTCATATTTATCAATGTTTTATAGAATTTTCTTTCTATTCATATTTATAATTGTTTCATAAAATTCTCTTTCTTTTCATATTTATCATTATTTTGCAAAATTCTCTCAATATTAGTGAATGCCCTCTTAGAATTGCAATCGAATCTAATTCAACAGAAATTGTCAAATTCTTAGTTGAACATGGTGCAAATGTTAACATGAATTTTTTTCTCTTTCTTTTCATATTTATCATTGTTTTATAGAATTCTTTTTCTTTTCATATTTATCAATGTTTTATAGAATTTTCTTTCTCTTCATATTTATCATTGATTTATTGGATTTTCTTTCTATTCATATTTATCAATGTTTTATAGAATTTTCTTTCTATTCATATTTATCAATGTTTTATAGAATTTTCTTTCTATTCATATTTATAATTGTTTCATAAAATTCTCTTTCTTTTCATATTTATCATTATTTTGCAAAATTCTCTCAATATTAGTGAATGCCCTCTTAGAATTGCAATCGAATCTAATTCAACAGAAATTGTCAAATTCTTAGTTGAACATGGTGCAAATGTTAACATGAATTTTTTTCTCTTTCTTTTCATATTTATCATTGTTTTATAGAATTCTTTTTCTTTTCATATTTATCAATGTTTTATAGAATTTTCTTTCTCTTCATATTTATCATTGATTTATTGGATTTTCTTTCTATTCATATTTATCAATGTTTTATAGAATTTTCTTTCTATTCATATTTATCAATGTTTTATAGAATTTTCTTTCTATTCATATTTATAATTGTTTCATAAAATTCTCTTTCTTTTCATATTTATCATTGATTTATTGGATTTTCTTTCTATTCATATTTATAATTGTTTCATAAAATTCTCTTTCTTTTCATATTTATCATCGTTTTATGATATTTTTTAAATATTAATGAATGTCCTCTTAGTATTGCAATTAAATCTAATTCAATAGAAATTGTCAAATTCTTAGTTGAACATGGTGCAGATGTTAACATGAAACTTATTATCTTTCTTTTAATATTTATCAATGTTTTATGAAATTTTCTTTCTATTCATATTTATAATTGTTTTATAGCATTTGCTTTCGTTTCATATTTATCATTACTTTATTGGATTTTCTTTCTTTTCATATTTAACAATGTTTTATCAAATTCTGATTCGTTTCATATTTATCAATGTTTTATCGAATTCTGATTCTTTTCATATTTATCAATTTTTTTCCAATTCTCTCAATATTAATAAATGCCCTCTAAGTGTCGCTATCGAAGCAAATTCCACAGAAATTGTCAAGTTCTTGGTCGAGCATGGTGCTACTAATATCAATTAATTCTTCTTATAGTTGCTTTATGCTATGTTGAAAGAAATTACAAATATTTGTACAAGCCAAATAAGTAAATTTTAATTATAATTCAAAATTTTTAGGTCCCATTTTTTAATGAATTTGTAATGCCCAAAACAATTTAGAATGTATTGGTATTCCAATATACTCCGAATATTTTTTTCTGAGTACGGCTCAGAAAAAGCTCAAAGTATATTTTTAATATGTTTGTAATATCAATCTCGAGAAAAAAAATCTTCCGTATTTTCGTTGATCTTATCTCAGCGCGCTACGTAGTTGCCCATCATTAATCAAAAAAAGCAATAATTTAATAAAAAAACTTCGAAATACTGGACTGCTTGTTTATATCTATTTGAATCCTACATTTGTGATTGAATAAACTATTCAATTGTATTCATAAAAAAATTGTTTATAATATAAAATATTAAACAAACAATAACTCAAGTTTCTTTTGGATAAACCTATAGAGTGATGAGTTGAATAAATCATAATTCTCAAACTTTCCAACAATGAGATAAGACTCATCTCTGTTATTTTGAATTAATTCACGTTCTTCTGAATCATAAACGTATACAACATCATCTAATTCAGATTTAGATACATAAAACAGCAATGAAACAGTGAATTTTGTCTCATTCTTTATGAATTCTTGGAACAAATTCATTGTCACATTACTCGTGAACTGGAAATTGTCAATTACAACTCCAAAATCTTCCTTCAATTCGCAAGACATTTTGTCAATGACAGTGAAATAATCAAGTTTGTTTTCAATCAAAAAGTTGATTCTTTCCAAAGAAGGATAACTAATATCTTCATTGTACAAATTGCTGTTTCCATTTGATGTATAGAAAACTGGTTTCTTCGTTATGTTCTTCTTAGCCAAATCAACAATTTCTTTCGAGAAAGATGACAAAAGTAAATTTGGAGCATAAAACAATTCATAATTATGGAATGTTTTCCATGTAGTTACTTGTTTCAACAATTCACTCTTGTTGTTGCTTTTCTCGAAGCAATCTTGAATGTCGTATTCTTGTATTGGATACCACGGTAAGAATATCCTTCCTTTCGATTTCAATTTCTTGTAAATAGGAGGTTTAATTTCCATGTTCTTTTTTATGAATTTTAGAACTTCTGGAAGTTTTCTCGCTACAAATGATTTGATCAAAAGATGCTTAGTAATGATCAAAATATCAAGGAATGTGCCATGGAAGGCATTTCTTGGAATAATAATCGATTCTTTCTCAAATTTGAGATTGTCACTTTTCAGTTTTGTAAATTTCAAAGTGTCAGAAGTCAAAATGAAAGAATTTGGACATTGGTAATTATCTGTTTCGTTTAGGAACATAACAGCAGAGTTTGTTGGCTTGATTGATGATGGTTTGAAGCCGAAATGTTTGAATTTTTCGAAGAAATCATCGAAATCTAAATCATTCAAAATTTTCTTGAAAAATTCTTTCGGAAGAGATTCGAAACCACTCTGGAGACCGAAATCAATAATGGATGATTCAAGAGGATATGGATTTGCAATAGGAATAATAGATATAATCTCTTCTGTACTCAAAGGATGGAGTCCGGACAAATATAAAAGTGACAAAATCTTTTGTTTGATTCTGAAAGAAATTTGGGAACTTGTTTCGCAAGATTTTGCCAGCAAGAACATCTTTTGAAGTGGTGGTATAACACCTGGATGGTTCGGTGAAAATCTCAAGATATTTCCTGACATTTTCTGTGAAACCTTGAAGATCTTTGAATCGACATTTACGTCGTATTTCAAAGTTGCTCCTTCTGACAAAGTAAAAACGATAAAAATCTTTGAAACTGAAGGAGAAATCGAAATCATTGTGGAATTTACATCCAAAAGAAGCTGTTCTGGAACAGTCTTAATAGTAAACTTTTCTTCTGGCCCAAGTTTGATTGATTTACTCCATGTTAAAAGTGCTTTTGGAACATCACTTTCAGCGTAAATATTTATCGAAACTTGTGATTTCGATTTCGAGGATTTCGGTGTCTCCAAAATCATTTCAAACTTGGCACGCGGATAAATGGCCGATGAAGTGAAGACGGCGCTTCCATTATTGACAATGAAAATTCCTTTGTTTGAAGGATATTCTGTCAATTTGGATGTTGAAGAAAATCCGAAATCATTCTTGCACGTTGTTGCAAGAGAAAATGAGGAAAAGAAGTTCTGGAAGGACTGTGAATGAATGAAACCTTCTGAGAAACAATTCTTAAGGAAATCTAAATTGACATGTTGTGAAATTTGTGAAGTGAACTTTTCGGTTTTGACAAATTCCAAAATTGAAGCCAATCTAAATATGTCTTTGTATTCTTCTTTGTACTGATAATTGAACAAATAAATCAAATTGGAAATGTCAGAAATTGAGTTCAAATCAACTTTGACTTCGCAATTTACAACTAAATCTTCGCAGTTGTCAATTTCAATTTCATACTCTTTATCGTCAACGATAGCAACCGCTTTATTTTCAATTTCATCAAAAGATTTGATTTTTCCTTCCACGCCCGTAAATGACGATAAAATACACTTAAACGTGACACCTTCTCTCAAACATTCCAAAGAATTATTCAAAACAGCGAAAGTAACAATTGGATGCAAAGCAGCTGTTTGCAACATGAATTCTCTGATGGAAGAGAATTTGTTGAACATGCGCTTCAAGAAAGAAATAATTGTAAAAACGGTTTGTATCGTATTTTGTTTGTAAACGAATCTTGTCGAAATTTTGTCGAAGTATTCATCAACAATTATAATTAAGAACTTTACAAAAACCATTGTACTTTCATTTTCATTCATTGTCTTGTCTGCGAGTTTTAGAAGTGTGTCGACAATCCTTGGTGATCCAAACAATATAAAAGATTTGAATAAAACCGTCAATTTTTCAACTTCAAACTTATATCCTGTAGAAACAGCAATTAATGCCAAATAAACGTTTTTGAACAAAAGTGACTCATTTTCAGGTGAAGTGAACACTGAATAGTCATGTAACAGCAATGGTTCGATGAACGGATTGACGAGAAGTTCAACAGATGTCAAGAATGGAATATTTGTCACTTTTTTGTATCTAAAGTAATCAAATATTTCAGGGGGATAAATCAGGATTTCTGGTGCCTCCAATTTGAACTCGAATTTCTGGAGGATTTCGGAATCCAAAAAGAAAGGATAAACGAACAAATTCATGAACCTTGAGAAGATATTCTTCTGCAATTTCAGCAGATTGTCTTTGTTTCTGTTGATTTGTTTCTCCAAAATGGAAACAATCAATTGATGGTGAGGTGACAAAACCGAAACATCATCAGAAAATTTTAAAATGAACAAACTGAGTAAATTAGGGTTAGAATACAACTGCAAGTTCTGTACTTTGCCATCTTTCAAGTAAGGAATCAATCCATCGCCTAAGAAGTTTACTTCCGGATCAAATTTAGTCGGAGCTAAAAATCTCGTGTTCTTTGGATTAAATGACAAAAAGTGACGGATTCTATGAAATAAAAGTGCCAAAGTTTTATCGTCTTTGTAATCATAAATCTTATTTATGAGTTTACAAATTGTTTGGTCGATTTCCGGATCCTTTTTATCAAAAATTGAAGGAAAATCTTTGTAAAACTTTTCAGGAGTAAAAATTTCAAACGGTTTGACAATTGGCTGGCAAAACGCGATACAAATCAAGAGATAGAAAGTTCTATGTATCATTCCCGTAATTATTTCATCAGTCGTCTTTGGAGGTACAATAGAAAACGATAGAACATCAACTAAAATTGAAGAATATGTTGACCACATTTTTTTATGAGAGAAAATGAACAAAAGGACTTCATTCCACGCTCTCATTGACGATGATGAGTAAAACACTGGCATCTGCTTCGGGAACTTGATTATGTCATTGACATCATGAATAATCGTTGTCATGATTCTCTTAAACGATTCCCAAACTAAATTAAATTCATTTGGAGTCGAATTTTCGAAGTATCTCTTCATGAAATTACATATAAAATACAAGGAAGTCGTAGGATAGAAATCCCATGTATCAATTACAAATGACATCATCTTGTTAACCGCTTTTGGTGTCACGTTTATTTTTGTCAAATCGAAGAAAGTTGGGAAGACGTAAATCATGTAAGGAGATGGATGTAACAAAAGGTAGTTTTCTATTATATAAACAGACGAAACATTTGCTCCGTTCAAAGAAGCCAAACAATAGAAATAAATTGCCTGATTCTTGAGATTGTCGGAGAATTCGATGAACGTGGCATCCAATGTTGTAACAACTTGGTTTAGAAGGGATGGCATCCAAAGCAAAGTGTCAAGAATCATGGAAATGCCTCTTTCGTCTTTTTCCAAAATAAATTTTTGTAAAATTGAAAAGGCAAAATTTGGTTCTCCAGAAGTGAATCGTGGCTGATGGTGGAAGTTGCAAATAAGAAGGGATTCAACAATGTTATTGTTCTGTAATGGGAAAAGAGTGCCTTTTATCCATGGACAAAGGTATTCATGGCATTCTGAAGAAATACACTCTGATTCTGTTAGAAATGCATAACGTTGGAGGAAGGGATTGATCGTCCAACACTTGAAATCAATGTCGCTGCTCCTTTCGCCAATTTGGCAGCCTGTGGCAAGTGAAAATGTGTAAATCTTTGATTTCCAGTAAAAAGCGATCGTTGTGCCATCAGTAACCATCGGACAATCACCGATACTGACTGTAGTATTGAGTTTGATCGAATGTATGTTGGATATGACAAGTCCGTTGGGTTCGAAAATATATACAGTTTTTTGGCTTGGTTTATAGGAGTAAATATAGTGCATATCGGAACATACTGGTGGTTGAAGTATTTGTGAGGTGTTTTCGACGCTTGTATAGTTGAATGTAATTGGATTTATTATTTGAACCCAATCTTCATTGACGACGTAGAGTTTTGAGTTAGCAATCACTAATGAAAATGGTTCATCTGGTGGTAGCATGACGGGAATTGAGTATGGGAAGATGCTGAGCTTCTTATGAGGAAATGGAATCACTTTTATCATTGAGTTCACTTGTCCGATGTAAACGCATTGCATATCTGCAGCGAAAGATGTCGGACATGAAAGAAGACGTATGTTAAAATCGCTTTTATTGACGATTTGTTCTTTATTGAAATTTGTTTCAAAGAAGGATTTGGTTTCTGGTGATCTTATCTGAACGATTGCTTGAGGAACACGCTCCTGTTTCTTTTTCTTCTTTGGTTTTGGAAGTTTGAACAGAGCATATTCTAATAATTCCGTGCATTCAGAACAGAGAATAAATGAAATGTAGGAACTAACTGCAAATGGCTTAAGAATGGCGCAAAATTGATGAGCAGCTGCAAATGAAGTTGCAACTGGGCATACTTCTGGATGTTTTTCTAAATAATCAAAAACTAAACAATCTTTTCCGGTTGTTAAGAATCGAATTGGATTAGTGACATTTTGTTTAAACTTCTTTTTTTCAGGTGGTGTTGGTTTCTTGTTGTATTTATCATAATCAGTTGAAATTTGTAATTCGAATGGATTTTGTCCGAAAAAAGATATTAAGCTTCTTAAAAATTTCACTGTTTGTTGTTTTTCAATTAGAGGCGGTGCAATTGTAATGACCTCTTGCATATTTTGCTTAAAATCTTTCGCCTCCATCCAACAAAATGTGACAAAAGGATCCTGATATTTTAAGAAATCAGATCGTTATTCATGTATCATCGGAATAAAGAATCTTTAGAGACTCTATGTGAACATGTGAAAATGTCTGATTTCAAGCGATACCAGAGAATTGATCTCTCAATCTCACAATTGATTCCAATTTAATATCATATAACAGTTTATATCATCTAGACTAATTCTTGAATCTTATTGAATTGTTAACAATGTTTCAGATCTCGATACACATATAAAAGGTTTAACAATTAATTCCTGCATCAAATTCCAACAAATAATATGATAATCAATTTTCAGGATTTGTGCATATTTATTGAGGTGTTTAATAAATAATTTTCAACTTTGTGCATGAACCATGAAAATAACACCCATTTCATAATTTCCGATTTACTCATATATTTTCAGGGTCCATACCATTAATATACTAGCTTCGCATCAATATGAGATCCCATGAATCCAAGAAGGTCAAAAACGAGGCCCTAATTTTCAGTACGAACCTCCTTCTTGGCTTTCTGATACTAGATAACGAAAAACACTCCTTTAACAATAATTATAAAATTATATTTTTTTTATCAATTTTTCTATAATATTTGCAATATCTTTCAAATAATATACTATTTTTTGTTTCAATATAGAATAATTCGAATTGTAGCACCATGCTCAACTAAGAAATTGACAATTTCTGTTGAATTAGATTCGATTGCAATTCTAAGAGGACATTCATCAATATTGAGAGAATTACATTAAACAATGATAAATATTAAAATAAAGAGAATTCCATAAAACAATGATGAATATGAAAAGAAAGAAAATTCTATAAAATAGTGATAAATATGAAAAGAAAGAGAAAAAAATTCATGTTAACATTTGCACCATGTTCAACTAAGATTTTGACAATTTCTATTGATTTCGATTTGATTGCAATACTAAGAGGGCATTCATCAATATTGAGAGAATTTGACAAAATAATGATAAATACAAAAAGAAAGAGAATCCAATAAAACAATGATAAATACAAAAAGAAAGAGAATATCATAAAACAATGATAAATACAAAAAGAAAGAGAATTCCATAAAACAATGATGAATATTAAAATAAAGAGAATTCTATAAAACAATGATAAATACAAAAAGAAAGAGAATTTTATAAAATAGTGATAAATATGAAAAGAAAGAGAAAAAAATTCATGTTAACATTTGCACCATGTTCAACTAAGATTTTGACAATTTCTATTGATTTCGATTTGATTGCAATACTAAGAGGGCATTCATCAATATTGAGAGAATTTGACAAAATAATGATGAATATGAGTAGAAAGAAAGCTCTATAAAACAATGATAAATATGAAAAGAAAGAGAATAAGTTTCATGTTAATATCTGCACCATGTTCAACTAAGATTTTGACAATTTCTGTTGATTTCGATTTGATTGCAATACTAAGAGGGAATTCATCAATATTGAGAGAATTTGACAAAATAATGATAAATACAAAAAGAAAGAGAATCCAATAAAACAATGATAAATACAAAAAGAAAGAGAATATCATAAAATAATGATAAATATGAAAAGAAAGAGAATAAGTTTCATGTTAATATCTGCACCATGTTCAACTAAGATTTTGACAATTTCTGTTGAATTAGATTTGATTGCAATTCTAAGAGGACATTCATCAATATTGAGAGAATTACATTAAACAATGATAAATATTAAAATAAAGAGAATTCCATAAAACAATGATGAATATGAAAAGAAAGAAAATTCTATAAAATAGTGATAAATATGAAAAGAAAGAGAAAAAAATTCATGTTAACATTTGCACCATGTTCAACTAAGATTTTGACAATTTCTGTTGATTTCGATTTGATTGCAATACTAAGAGGGCATTCATCAATATTGAGAGAATTTGACAAAATAATGATAAATACAAAAAGAAAGAGAATCCAATAAAACAATGATAAATACAAAAAGAAAGAGAATATCATAAAACAATGATAAATACAAAAAGAAAGAGAATTCCATAAAACAATAGTAGTATATGTGAAAGGGTTTAGTGACTTTTTTTGTTACATCTATATATAGACGATGCATTAAAATATAATTTATAAACACATTAAAAAAATTAACATTAATTTTAAAATAATTTATTTTTTATCTTTTATAAAAGAAGCTATATATAGATGATGTCAGATATTCCGCGATTAATTAAACATTGTTTAAATCCTGAATGGGTTAAACTTCAATTTAAAAATGAAGATTGTGAATTATTAAATGAATATGAAAGCCAAAATAAGCTAATGAGGTATAAATATAATGATAAAGAATATTTAATTTCATGGAATCAATGGAGTCATAATCAAAGACCTCATAAACGAGAAGAAGAAATTGAAAATAATGAAATGGAAATCATTGATGACATTAAAGAGGATGGAATTCCTAAATTTTGTAGAAAAACCTTTAGAACTAAGTTAGGAGCATATAAACGTAGAGTATTAAATCCTGAATACATAAAACATTTATTTAAAAAGGAAGACTGTGAATTATTAAACGTTAATGAATATGAAAATGCTAAATCAAAACTGAGATATAAATATATTGGAAGTGATGAAAGGTGTAAAGATAAAGATAAAGTTTATTCAGTTTCATATAATAACTGGCACACGTTAGGGATAAGAAAACATTTAGGAGATTATGGAAAATGTTCTGAATTCTTTAAATCTAGTATGTACGAGAGAGTAAAAGAAATTAGAAATAATTATTTTCATGAATGAAAAATAAATGAGAAAAATAAATTAGAAGCTAATGATTATTTGAATTTATGAAATCAATTATTTGATTCATTCTTTCTTCAATCTCTTCTATTCTTTTTGTTAAATCATCTATTTTCATTAATGAGGTGATTCTTGATTGAGGAATAGATTTCAAACTAACCACTCCTTTTATTTTTGAAATTTTGAATCCATCAACTTTAAACATTTTATTCAATTTACACGTTGTCAATTCTTCAAATAATTTTTTATTGTTAGCATAATTCATTAAATTCTTCAACAGATGAAAAAATTTTTATTTCAGTAATTGGTTTAACAACGTTTATTTTTTGTTGAACATTTTCACTTTCATTTATTTCTTCCTCTGTTTCATTTATTTTTAAAATGGTTTCATTTATCATTAAATAAAAATTAGAATATAAGTGATGAAATATATTTTTTAATTAATATTAAATCAGAAATGGCGGCAGGATTCTTTAAAAAATTATGGGATGGAATTAAGAAAGCTGCAGGTTGGGTTTATAAAAAGTTATTAAACCCTGTTGCAAACTTTTTGGCACCAGTAGCGAAAACGGCAGGAACTATCATAGGTGGAGTATTAGGTACTAAAGCAGGTAATCCGGCGATGGGAGCACAAGCAGGTAACGCAATTGGTGGAATTGCTGAAGGAATACTTAATAAAATAGGTAGATAGTGGAAAAATAAATAAATATTATTTTTATCTTAGTATCGGTTGTAGTCTTTGATAAACTTTTTCTCCTTTATTTAATATTTCTCTTATTGGGGCAGCTTTTGGTGTTATTGATTCAGCAACGTCACTAATTGCTTCTTTATTCTTAAATATCCAATTTGCTCCTTTCTTCATTGTTTCCCAAACTTTATGCGCTCCTCTTTTTACTTTATCCCACAGTTTCTTAAAGAATCCTGCAGCCATAGTTGATTATTTCATTAAAATTAAAAATTCATTTTCATCTTTTAATTTTGATTTTTTATTTATTAATAAATGACGACTAACTATTTAGTGCCAAACACTAAACCGATTAATGGAAATGTGTTTCATTCATTCGAAAAGATAAATGAAATATTCGCAAAGAATGATGGAAGAAGATATTATAGAGAACTTGAAAGTTCATGCTATGACTCTGATGCTCCATATTTTGATGATAAACAAACTCATTTAAGAATTACAAATCCGGCTCATGATGTGAACCAATTAGGTGACACATATATTAAACGCAAAGTTAAAGCAACTCTAGTTTCAAATAAAGCTTTCACATGTGATGCCGCTTTTAAATGCATGCGTTTATTCGTTGGTTACAAATCATCAAATCAAAGCTTTAAACAATTAGAAGTAGAAACCGAAAGAGGTGATGCCGGTTATCTTCAGATGGATTGTGCCCGTGAATCTTTCGCATTTGCAACATATAAACCAAAATCAGAAAGGAAAGTTAAAAAGTTTGTTCATTCGTTATATAATAATGTTCAAAAATATGATAACTCAGTATGTGGTAAATATATTGACCCTTCAGAAGTTTTCAAGAAAGCAAATGAAGAAGTTGATATCACTTTTGATATGATTATTCCGGTAAATGATTTGTTAGCATTTCAGGCGTTCGATGATTATCCTAAATCATTTGGTGAAATCATTCTTAAATATTATGTTTTCAGGGATACTTTAGTATTTTGTCAGGTTGACCCGTTAAGAGTTGCTGATTTACAAAATTACGTTTATGAAAAGATAACTGATGAAAATTATGAAAAGATTATGAATCATGTTTATAAATATGATCGCAAATTCCAACAAATCGGACTTCCTGCCAAATTAATTACAAGCTTAGCCGCTACATCTGCTGACGCAACAGTTGATGACGTTATTATTTCATGCACAAAGATGGAAGTTTTAGAGGATAAATGCATTACACCAGGATACGGTTTAATTGAAGAATCAGTTAAAGCAATACCACGTTTATTAGTAAGGAAGATCCATTCATGATTCCAGCTCAACATATTGACGTTCGTTCACTAAATGGAGGTTGCATCACTCCTGAAGGTATCAGCTCAGATTTCTCATACGCTCTTCATAATGTTACAGATGTTGTGTTACATTTCCGAAGAATGCAATGCAAAGAACAGTTTTAGAAAATCCAATGCTTCGAGGTCTTCAGGTCACTATAGATTCCAGAAACTTCC